GCAAACATCCCAGTAGGGTACACACACCATCACAGTCCTCATTTACAAAGGGGAAACTGGAGGGGAAAGAAGACAGGGGCACGTTGCCAGGGTCCTCCACTAGTGAATGGGAAGCCTGGACTGAAATTCAGGCAGTATGGCTCACAGTCCCTACTCCTAACTACTCTACTGCTCTCCAAGGCAGACCCTTCTCTCTCCTCCTCAGACGGACCAATTTAGTCTCTTTTCTTTGCTTCTTCCATCCCCCTAATCTTCTTGTTTCATCCAACAGATTTCTTTCTCCTCAGTTTTCCTAGATTCCCCCATTTATTTCTTAGTCTGCTTATGGCATTCAGCATGAAAAATTTAAATGCTCCTGAACGGGTGCATCTGGAGATGTTATAAAGGATTTGGGGACACTGGGTGGTGCAAAGAGTTAACATGCTCAGCTATTAACCAGAAGTTTGGAGGTTCGACTCCACCCAGAGGCACTTTGGAAGTAAGGCCCATGGATCTACTGAAAAGTCAGCCACTGGAAACCCTACGGAGCACAGCTGTACTCTGACACACCTGGGGTCGCCATGAGTTGGAGTCGGCTCAGCGGCAACTGTTTAAAAAGAGACTATAGTGACACGCAGGCAGCCGGAGATCAAAACTCAGTCTCCAACTTGTTTTGGTTGCTACTGAGATGACCGATCTACATGGAAGAAGATAATAAGGGTTGTATTTTAAGTTCCAGGGTTTTTCATCAGAAGCGTACTCTTTTTTTGTAAATAAGAACCGCTGTGACTGTGGAGTGTCGGTGAGATAAATTATGCTGTGTTTCAGTCTCTCTTGATGTCATATTTCTAAACTTCAAAACTCAGAATACTGGCTCTTAGAACAAGTAAGAAAATACACACATATAGGTGCATACACACAAACACAAAGTAGACATTTTCAGTAAATCCTATTTCTTACAATCTAACTCAAGGGGCCCTTGTGGTGCAGTGGTTAAAGCGCTCTGCTGCTAACCAAAAGGTTGGTGGTTTGAACCCAATGGCCACTCTGCAGGAGAAAGATGTGGTGATCTGCTTCTGTAGATTACAGCCTTGGAAATCCTATGGGGCAGTTCTACTCTGTCCTATAGGGTCACTGTGAGTCAGAATCGACGTCAGCGGGTTTGGTTTTTTGTTTGTTTATAATCTAGCTAATTGAGCAGATGGCATTTAAAATTGAATCCTGTTCTGGGAACAGTTGGCTCAATGCTGACACATCTTTTGGTACCACTGTCGTGGCTTGGGCTTCTGATACTCTAACCTCAACCACAAATGCACTTTGTTCAAGATGCCAAAAGAATCTCTAGAGAAAGCCTCAGTCCCCTCAGTGCAAGAAAGAGCTAATGAATATGGAGCAGCAATGGAAGTTAAGTTCACATTGTTAAAAACTTTCAAATAAGTTTAAAGATAGTAAAAGGAAAACATTTTATGAGCTACTGATGATGTTCTCCGTATGGGCTGGTACATGCTTCTACTGGGAACAAGCAAAGAGACTGCTGCATAAATTAGAGCAAGAATAATTTATAACAGGCGTTAAGAAGATTACTCTTGGATTTGGAGACATTAGAATGTGTTGCCAGCGAAATTATGAAATTTCTTCTTTCAAGAAAGTTTTAAGGGAAAGGGTGGTCAACCACACTTCAAGCCTAATTTAAGTGAAATACTATACGAGAGTACGGAAACCTACATTTTGGTCAGCCAAAGCTCAGTTCTGTTAAC